CATAAAATAAAAAATTTATATCTTTATGTTTGAAGCCTGAAATGTGGCAAAAGGTTGAAAAGTTCAAGGGGGCCGAATACTTTCGCAAGGCACTGTATATGATATGCAAAACATTTAACTGTAACACAACATGAATCCATTAACAAAAAAACAGATAATTGCAAGACTACAACCTACAAACTATTCAGGATGACCATATCCACGAGATATGTCATTTTATGTTTCGATAACTCTACTGTGCTTTGTATTCCCTGGGATCAACATTTTCTGTAGTTATCATCCTTTCACATGATGTCTTAGTTCATTTGAACTTTTAAGAATGCCATGATCAAAATACAGTTGTGTGAAATAGTGTAAACCCATTGGAATAGTCTGTATTCCTGCAGTAACTGCTCCTAAAATGTGAATTGAAACAATTATGTAAAGAGGACTGACCGAAAATACCCTCAAACTGGTGTACAGGACTGACCTGCAGCTACAGGAAACGTTGCTGCTAAGGGAAGTTCCACCAGTGAATAAATATAAAGGTTCACATTCTTTTTCCAGCATAGAGAGTGAGTGTGCTTAATATAGACAAAAAAGTACAATTGTGTGTTATTTGTTTAATCAGATTGTATTTATCTATTATTGTGACTTAGATAAAGATCACATCACACTTTGGGGGCAATTACTGCAGGAATATAGATAATTCCAAAGGTTTCACAGACCTTTTCTCACCACTGTAATTAGCTTCTTACATCATACTAGGCAGCATTAGAAAAAATAAAACAAAAGTGTTTTGAATATAAGGCCCTCTGATTCTGAATCTATTTTAAATAAATTACACAAAACATAGAACCAGGACCAGGAGAACTTTTACAATAGATGAAATATGAAGAGAATTAATAATACATTTATAGTTTTGCAAGTGTTGGTTAAAATGTATCTATTTGAACAAATGCTTCACTTGAAAAAAAAAGTAGATTCAAATACATTCTAGTGATTAAACATCAACTATTGTATAATAATGTAACAATGAACAGATTCAACAGGGTCAGTTTTCTATCCCTACCCATCAGATACCTTTCATAATGTTCTTTAATATGCTTTCCCAATAACCATGCTTATAAATAAATGTTACCTTAACAGTCAAAAAGCCTATTTAAAATGCACTGGGCCCTCAGTGTCCTTTAAACTGTTTTGCTGAAAGCATATAAGAATAGACATACTGAAGAACAAGAAATGTGACCTTTGGCAGAACTGAAATCCAAAAGTCAAATATTAAATATATTATGGAATATTATATTATTAATATTTAATAAATCAACCAGCCAAACCACAAACAGATCCACAGACAGGTCCCTTAAATGTTTTAGCAGGATTATGAGAAGTACAGAAAGGGGGCCTCATCCACCTGATTTAAGATAAGACATAGTGAAGTGCTTAAGACAAACATAACTGAGCTATTGAAGACTGCTCTCCTTTAAATAGAGCAGTTACCTTTGTTACGTCCATAGCGACCCCTTCTGGCAAGTTCCGCTGGATGTACTCCAGATACACATCCGCTGTGGAGCCAGTCAAATGCTTCAGCTGGGTGTGAAAGAGAAGAAACAATTAAAAAGCGCACTAGCCACTTACTTTAAGTGGAACACAAGGTTGACCTGCAGCATTCGAACAAACCACACTGCATTTGAGATGTCCTCAGCAGACCCCTGTGTGGAAAAGCCTACTAGGCTCACTCCCTGGGATTCTCTCCAACTGGTTTTCTCTCTTAGGAATGGGCTACAGTCTTATGTTGTCAGCATATTGTGTAAGGGTCTTGCTACCTTGTAATAGGCTAAAGTATTAAAGCCACATATTTTGTTGGTGCTTTATATTGTTCCAAAATAAAAAGGTTTTCTTTCAAGCTTGGATGTTCATTTCTTTAAATCTTTTTCATGCAGTGATGGTCTTAGGCTTCTGCCTTAAAAAGGACCACCACAGGATATCAACTCATGGTTCCTCATCATATCACTCCCACTTAATTTCATGGAAAACTTGTAGCTGTAAAGAAATCCATAAACTTTCAAATAAATGCAACTATCTAGGTCTACTGTGGAAAACTGTGCCTACATAAAAAGGAAGACAGACTTGTTCATAAATCTCACCTCAATATACCTATAATGTGTCCTTATTTCATACTGGACTCTGTGGTTCTTAAAAATGTGAACAGACTTCAGAAGGGTGAACCGTTCAATCTTCTTTGAAGGTTCATATCTGAAATCAAAAAGAGAAACCAATAAATGTCTTGTGCTATCTAGATAAGACTAGTCAGTTTTTGAGCATGTAAAACAAAAAACCCTCTCAACAAAGAACACTAAGCTACACTACCTAGTACTCTGTAAGCTTCACTACTGAATTAAAGAATAAAGGTGTTATAGCCAGAAGTTAAAGCTAACAAATATAACCCACTACAACTTTAAAACAAGCTGGAAATTAGTTTTGTCACCTAGCAGAAATACATTAAATAGCCGTATATTTCCACAGCCATTCTTCACACTCACTTCTCAATGCGCTCAAAGTCTTTCACATGCAAAATCAAAGTCAAAGTTTTTTTCTTTTTCATTTAATCAATTTATATATATATAGGACAGTGCTGGATGCTTTCTTTCCTCTTTCCTATCTTCGGCAACAGGAATGCCCTCAGGTGAGAACTTACACCTTGCCAATGGTGATGCCCAACTCCTGGGCAGCCAAGGTTGCAAAAAACTCATAGCTGTCCAGAACAGCTCTGTCGTGCCCCTTCACAAGTACGGCCACACTCTGGTACAGCGTGTCGGGTTCCTCCGTCACTCTGATCTACAGCACAGTTCAAAGTACAGGTTACAGAACAGTCATAATGATCTCTGATCCAATCATTCATCCAAATCGAAAAGAAGACAAGAAATGGATGAGAGGAATCCCATCAGATGGGAAATTAGCTCTATTCAAACTTAAATGCGGAACAGAACGCACTAAAACAAAAATAATTTCCGTTTTCTAAGACAAAAAAAATAGAGGGAAGGGGTTCTTGTTTCCCTATCAACTATCTAATTTACCTATTAAATAATAATTTAATATTAAATAAGCATCAGAGATTCATTTGACAATTCTATAGATCCTCTCACCAAATAGCCCTTTCTGGCCACCCAGTGACTGTTCCCTCTTCAAATGCCTTTGGGGAAAAAAGACATTCCTTCTATTTTTCAGGTAATGACTTAGTCAGCGAACACTGTAGACAGACAGCCAGGTGGACAAATTCTATAGACAGACAAATCTGTATGAAATGAAACATACTCACAGCTGGAGGGATGGCACAGCAAGGTGACCCTGTGTGCAGAGCAGCTGTTAAGGTTAATGAAGGCAGTTTGGTGCTGCTTGATAGGGGAAAAAAAAAAGAATTAACATTTCCACCTCCGATACAAGATGCTTTCAGAAACAAGGAAGAGACTAAATGTGGACAGTAATAAAATCTTTCCCCTGCTAAATGTCTCCCATGTGATCAGGTCACATCACACATTAAACATGTAGAAAATAAATAGTAACCTATAAATTTGAATAATGTAAAACTTGTAAATGATGAGACAAACACAACCCCAAAACACACAAGCTTGGTCTGCGTCGAGGTAAGGCTTTTTACAATGTGAGTGATATCAAGATGAGCTCAGAAACTGTAGTTTTGAAAGTCAATACAGCATCAAAAAGCCTGTCTCTTCAAAGGGCACAACTTTACAATCACATAAACAAGCCACACAAGGTTTATGTTACTATAAAAAAGCAACAGAAACAAGTACAAAACATCAAATGCTTTTCTTTCCTCATTTTATAACTACACAAATAAATATACATACATGGCATCATTTTTTATCTGCAATGTTTACATCCTTTAAATATTTACTAACATTAACTTTGGGTCAAGACTTAATATTTAATTGCAAATATTGCATAAGGTGACCCTGTGCTTTGACCCCAAGCTTCTATTATTGTCTGTGTGTCTCATAGAGAGCAAGTTGGGATATTACCCAATTACACACAAGTAATTCTAATTTAATCACAAAATTGACCATTCCCAAATATCCATTTTGCTTCAACAAATTAAACAAGATTTCTACCTTAATGTACAGACACACCTGGCAAGAACACAGCTCTTTGCTTGTTTGAATTAGGTATTAATGCAGCTTCTCAAATGAAGTGTGCTTACCACAAGAGGTCATTTCTTCTCCATCCAATACTTCTGCAATGGCCAAACCCTAATATTCGCGATTCCTGAAAATAATTAAGATTCAAATGAAAACAAAAAAGTAAGTTAAGGCAAAATTATACAATTGCTACTATTACGATTATGACCGAACGACAGTAAATCGAAAGGATTATTTGAGGTTTGGGGTGATCATGAAACGAAAAATAACTAAAATTAGCTAATAATGCAGATTTTATTCTCTACTCATGTTCCCGTAAAATATATACATATTTTAAAAGCTATCGATTAAAAAGGAAAAGGAAATTACTTAAGAGTTTCACGTATTTCAAGGACACAGTAAGGAGCGTGTAGGTTAGGTAAAATTGGAAGTTTCATCTCACACAGTAAAAAAACACCTTTGTAGGAAAAATAATACCACAAAATTAGTTCGTGAGCGAAGAAACCAAACATATACCATATACAACTCTAGTCAATTTAATCTTTTCTTCTTAAAAAGCGCCCTTGAAATTCCTCTACCAGAAGGTACATTTTTCTGGTATTGCCCTTGGATGACGGTCTAAGAAATCACCACGCATGGCAGTGTCCAGGTCCTTAAAACAGATTCGAAAAGTTGCAGGTGAAGTTAGGTTAACTCTGTGAACACCGATCACGTTGCCAAAATGATACCTGCTGAGTACTCTGCAATACCCTCAACAAGGTACGGAGACTCCTCGTCACACACGCCGCGGACCCCATGTTTCCAGGCAGCGTGAAGCAGCCAGGGACATTAAGCGACGCGCAGCCTTTCTGTTTCCTGGTTCACAGAGAAACCGCTTCCGTCGGTCGCGTTGACGCCGAGGGCCGCCAGGGGGCAGCGTCTCCCTTAAGCCTCTTGCGGAAGCCTGCGCGTCTGTGACTCGTTTCCCTTCATCATCTCCGAGTTCTTAATACACTACAGCCACATCCGCATTTTTTATAAATGACAACGTAAACTGTCATCCAGTAGAGTGGCCTTGAAGAAGCCTTACATTTGAATGCCTTAAATGGGCTAAGAGTTGTTACAGACTGACCAACTGAAACCGTTGCTCACTACTGCATACAGTATATAATGGCTACAGAAATGTACTACTTACTCAGGCATTCGCATTATGTGTCAGGGAAAAGGAAATCGTATCATTGCCCCTCTCTCAGATTCTCTTAGATAACCAGTAATGATAATACATTTATGAGCTTATCTTCTAAATTCGACATGAAACCTCAAGAGAAGGAAACTAATTTGAATGCCTTAATTCACAACAGGGAGCTTCTTGTGATTTCTTAGGAATTCAGTGATTTCAAGATGACCACTTAAGCCTATTTGTAATGTAGACAATTATACCAGTAAAGTAGTATAATTAACTTCTCAGGACTTGTTAACATAAAAGTGTTGCAGTCCTATGAAGACAGAATCAAAACTAAGTGAATTGCAGCCACAAAACATTGAGAAATCATGAGCACCAACAACATTTAGAACCTGACTGCACTGTCAATACAAGTTGAATGAAGTTGTCCTAATCTGCTGTCGTCTCCTTTTCATTATGACCAGTAATCTCCTTTGCAAAACATTCATCACTTTCACTTCAATTCCCTGAAGATAATTACAGGTTTTCAATAATTGTGATTACATGTATACTGTCTTGGGTAATAGCATCTGCTAAATATAGAAAAAATAAATCACTTTCTTGTCAGGTTTTCATCTTTGCTCATTTACAATGATTTTCATACATTAGTAAGCAAATTATACTCTTGAACAAAAAGCTCAAAGTTAGATGTTTCTGCAACTTGTTTCTTGGGAATCATCTGGAAGCTGTAAGAAGCCCAATAAGGAAATAAAATAATAATAATAATAATAATAATAATAATAATTGCTTACACTTATATAGTGCTTTTCTGGCCACTCTATTTCAAGCACTCTACAGGTAATGAGGACTCCCCTCCATTATCACCAAAGTGCAGCTCCACCTGGATGATGCGACGGCAGCCATAGTGCACCAGTACACTCATCACACACCAGCTATTATTGAGAACAGAGTGATGAAGCCAGTTCATAGAGGGGGATTATTAGGAGGCCATGATGCTCAACCCAGTGGTTTTAAGTGACTGTCAGTTCCAAAACACACAATCACTTTAAATTAAATAATATGTATGTCATTATTTGGTTCCACATCCCTTTGACCCAATTTCAGCAATTAATGCAGTAACTGCTTGAAGCTTCTGACCCACAGGGGCTTCCCAGACTCTCTTTGTAATCATTTGTGATGCTTTGCTGCAGCCACTTAAAACTATTGCTTATTCTTAATAATAATTGCTTATACTTATATAACACTTTCATGGACACTCCACACAAAGTGGTTTACAGGTAATGGGAACTCCCTTCCACCACCAATGTGGAGCCCCACCTGGATGATGCGACGGCAGCCATAGTGCACCAGTACACTCATCACACATCAGCTAATAGTGGGGAGGAGAGCAGAGTAATGAAGACAATTCATAGATGGGGATTATTAGGAGGCCATGATTGGTAAGGGCCAATGGGAAATGTGGCCAGGATGCCAGGGTTACACCCCTAATCCTTTTGAGAAACACCTTGGGATTTTTAATGATCAGAGAGTCAGGACCTCGGTTTTACATCTCATCCGAAGGACGGCGCCTGTTTACAGTAGTGACCCCGTCACTATACTGGTGTATTAGGACCCACACAGCCCTGCACACCCCACTAACACCTCTTCCAGTAGCAACCTTAGTTTTTCCCAGGAGGTCTCCCATCCAGGTACTGACCAGGCTCACAAAAAATGTCCTTTTCTCATTTATCCCCTTTCTTATCTTCTTAATTCCAGTTAGATCATTAAGACACAAACACCATGGCTATCAGTTGATGCACACACAATGAAATCGTTTCTATGTAGTTATAAACCCATGATCAATTACTTTTCCCTTTCTCCATTACCAGACTTAAGGGGTCCTCAAGTCTGCTTTTCAGACAAAAAGTGCAAAGCTGGTACTAAAGAACTTGATAATTCCCCTGTCTGTGAATGTAGTAACGTTTGTTAAGATGGGGTCCATTCATGAAGCTTGTTTAAATTCGTGAAATTAGACAAGTCACTCAAGTGGTACTGCTGTTGGGAATTTAGCCACATATTTGTGACTTATTTCCTTCCTTGTCCACAAAACACACAATTCAGGATACTGTTTACAAAGTCAAATATTTTGGTAACCGCAGAATGTAGCCATGTAATTCCGTTTGGATTAAACCTCTTAGAAAAAACAGAAGAATCCTTTAATATCTGGTATCTGACAAAATTATTATTGGATAACTAATAATCGTGTAACAACTAGACAATATAACTTGTTAAACGAGTCATTAAAAAACAGACCATGTAGAAGTGCAAGCTTTGCGCTGTACAAGCTTTTAATAAATAGAAAGGCATGAACTTGTGTTTGAAATATAATAAACAGTACCTTAAAAGAACATTACATTTCAGAAGGTACAAAAGGGAAAATAAACTCCACAATCAAGTAAGCATTACCTAAACAAATTACATTCTGCATTTTAAGAAGAACAAGATCCAGATTGAACATTAAAAATATTTACACCCTTCCCACAATAAAAACAATCTTGGTGTTAAATACAACTCTGTAAATAAAACATATTATTTGTTGACTTAAAAAATATAGTTTTATATATAAAACTATTTACACTTTTTTTTGCTTCAGAACCGTATACCAGGACAAGTTTTAAAAATTAAAGCTAACTGTCCTTTTTAAAGGAACAATGGCATATGACAGAATTATACAAAGAACAAAATAAAAAAAAAACATTCAACAGTCCCTGAAAAAAATATAAGGGTTTAATAGTCGCAATTTCTAGGAACCTGAATATACTCACAGGCTGACTGCTACAAGTACTACTTCAGGAACAACTGCGATAGTGCCAAGTGCCATTTGATGGGAAAACGAGATGTTGCCATCTGTTTTTTTCCTTTACCACTATAGAACCAAATTAAAATGTATTTGCACTACTCGTCTTTAATGTTAACTTAAGGTTATAGGAGAGATGCTGTAGTGCACCACAGGTATAACACTCCTCAAAAGCATTCAAATACTGAAAAATATGAGTAGTTTCTCATGCTGAAGTGATTTCAACTTTATCTATAAATTTATTGAAGTCCAAAGCCACCCCAAAAATACTGAAAATGAAAATAAACAGCACTGGAAAAACACCTATGCTTGTAGTTAAGTGCTCACAATTGATTGTCACATTTATGAGTGGCTGTATTTGTTGAAATAACTTCCAATGAACGAAAGACCTCGAAGACCTCCACATCACACTGTAGGGATGGGAGCACTCTGGGAATGCAAACTTTATAAAACCCCAGCATGTACAGAAACACTTATCAATTATTTTAAATTAAATTCAAAATATAAAAACTGCATATTAAGGTTACTGAGTCTATTATACTCACTCATGGCTTAGAAATACAACCTGGAAATGTTGTATTCAAACTTGGTAAACCAACAAACATTGTTCAGGCATTTATTGTTTTCTAATCCAGAAGATCAATTATATATTAGATGCACGTACCTCTCAATTTCATTATTATACAGTATTATTCTATTTTGAAAAGACAGTGTAAATAGTGAAGACCGACAGGTTTTAGACAGGCTAAAAACCAAAAGAATCATTTTTATATTTTCTTTTGCTTTGTTAGTAGCTTTGGAAGAATGGAATCAATAATGTATGTTTTGTTGATAAGGAAACCAGTCTGATTCATAATCCTTTACATGCAGTGGATACATATTTGGAATTCATATGGAAGTCGCTATGCCTAACTGAAAAGCCACAATTCCATTTCTATAACAGGTGACCAACTATAAAGGCTTAAAAACTGTGAAGTGTTTATTATGAGCTGCATATTAACTGTTCTTACTAAAAGTGATTGGCATTTGTTTTAGTCCATATAAGGCAGCAAAAATCTTTTTTGTTTCCTGTAGTCTGTTAAGAATAGAAAAGACTGTTCAGAATGTTTTGTGCTATGGTTACATGCACAGGTGTTAGGATACAATTAATGTTTTGAGCAATTGAAGTTATGTATAAGAATGCTCCCCTGAGACTGGCCCATAATTGTAGGACTGCACCACACCAGCAAAAGGCAAAGCAGAGCTGAAATTTAAACTACCATAATGGCACCTAATCGGGCAGTTCAATCTAGAGCAGAACCAGAAATGATTTTACTGATCTCCCCCTACAGTGACTACTGACAGCTCAAAATTTACAAATTCATTAAGCATTGCAAGTTGCTTTTTAGGATTTAGTATGAAAAAGGTTTGAAAGCTTGCATGGAAACCAAAGCATGTTTTTGTGTTTTAAGTTGGGCAACCACAGAATCTACAGCATCTCAGGAACTGTTTGTTTGGCAATCTTAAAACCTAAAAATGTAAAGTAAGAAATTAACATATAATGAATAAAACTTCAAAATGATGTAAACCATTGAAAAAAATATGAAACAGCTTCCAGTTCCATTACTATATTTACAAATACCAAGGCCAGACCCCCTATCTGAGTGCAAGATATAAGATCATCCTGAGAAAATTGCTGCAGGTCTTTATGTTAAGGAACAACATAATTTTATGTTACTTGTTAAAATGGGTTTGACTTCCCTTTTTCTTACTTTTATTTTTTATCACCGTGCCAGCCAACTTAACCTGTAACCTGACAATGACATTAATACAAATTTATAAATGTGAAGACACCTGGTGATTTACTTTGATCTGCAACCTAATCAAATGTTTCACAAGACATGACCTAAAATATAGCACTTCTCTGCTTACAGTCATCTATCTTGGCACTTCTGTTCTAGAGGGATTTTCATTATGCTCAAAGAGGCTTGCTGTGTAAAAGATTTAATTTTTTATAGTGTGACCAAACACTATTTTTTCAGTTCATATTGAATTTAATTTAATTGACCCTTTTAATGGAAAACGTATTTACTAATATAAGAATTGTGGGGGTTGTAAAATAAACTTGTGAAAAAAAACGATGCAGAAAAAAAAACATTTCCAATACTGTGGTACATATTTTCTGCAGTAGAATAAAATGAAATGATTTCTGAGAATTCCTGCTTCCAGAATGAAGTTAACCTTATAAAGAATTACTGTTGTGTAAGAGTAACCGATTAATAAAAAAGAAAGAACAGAAAATATTTATTATACACTGTAAAAATGCCAAGAACATACTTTTTGCTCTAAAAGCTACTCCCCAGCATGAATGTGAGCGAAAACAGAACACAGAATACTGAGCACATGGTCCTGAGATTATTACAGCTATGGTTTTCAAACTGCAATTGAAAAACCCGGGTGTCCCCAGGAAAACCTGGAAAACCATTCACTCCATGGTAAGCAGTGTTATAAATATACACCCTCATACACATGAGTTTTCCTCATGTATGAGGAAACACATTGACCATGCAATTGCCTAAGTCCATCCAGGATGGTTTTCTCTGTTACACGGCAATACATACTTTTCAGAATCATTGTTAGAAACACAATTATATAATGATTTGCTGTTAGTCAATATTTAATTAGGGCAACTAATTTGCTTGGAAAATGGGGCTTCTCAACCGGAGTTTTTTTAGATAATTTGAGCCCTCCTTCACTTTCTCTTCCTTTCGATCACTCACATTGCAGCAAATCATACCTGAGAAGATATGGGTTTAGGGCTGAGTTCTTTGCTCTACGGAGCCCAGTTTCACTGAGCCTGGGGATTTTTCTCCCACAGAAGAATTAGGATGAACAAAGAGGAACAAGGGATGTATCTTACTGCTGAGTAGTCACTGTTTTCCTTAACTATGCCTTCAAAATGAACTCAAGAAAATTTTTAAAATACAAAAAATAACAAAAGTGAAGGCAGGTGACATTGCTCTCCACCTCTTCCCAGAGGTGTGCGAAACAGGGCCCAGTTCAGCCTGTTTTCCAGGGCCGATCAGACGTGAAGGCAAAATCTGTGTAGTTGGGTGGCTGCTGGGCGAGAGCAGCAGTCTGGGAGGAGGTGAAGTGTGAAGTCCGTCGGCTGCCATCATGCGCATGAGGACGCTGAGGCCCCCTTTGCCCTCCCGGACGCCCACCCCAGTCACAGCTCGTCCTGCTGCTCGGGCAGATACTCCCCCGGCTCCCCCATCAGCAGCAGGTGAGGGCTGATCAGGGCCTCCCCCGCGTCCTCCTCTTCCTCCTCCTCCTCCTCCTCTGCCCCCAGCCGCTTCACCATGCTCATGTGGTCGAAGGGCAGCGGGGTGGGGCCCATGGGCAGGCAGGCTTTGGCCCCACGGTGGGGTGGCTCCAAGTCGAGCCCCAGGGACGCCCGCTGGGGCTTCCTGCGGTCAGGGTCCTCCTGCTGCCGGTGGGTCTTCATGTGGGCATTGCGGCTTTTGATTTTGAAAAACACCCTACAAAGAGAAAAGAATGTGGAAAACAACACAGGCTCGTAAAAACACAGCTGCTCACTTCTGGGTAGTTGACGCACCTGGTAAGTGCTCTCAATACAGTGTAAAGAGCTTGATCTATCTGCTCAGTACAACAGAAAGGAAAAAAAAAATAAAATCCAATTACTATTTTTCTGACAAATCGGCAAAACACTTCCAACATTTCGATCGCCAAACAATTTCATTCAGACGGCTTGGTGAGGGAGTTTAAGAAGGAAGTGAGTGTCTTACTTTCCACACTCCTTACAGGGGAAGATGAGAGTGGGATCGGTGTCTCCGCTAGTGGTGCTGTGAGCTGGGGAGCTCTTGACCGAGCCGTGACCTGACTGAGACATCGATTTCGGTTTGCCACCAGGCGCAGGCCTGTGGGCCTGGTTTGTGTTGCTGTGGATCCGTGCATGGCCATTCAGAGCCTGTCTAGAATTGAACATCTGCAGGAGAAACGCCAAGGCAAGAAAGCACAAACAACTGGTTAGATACAGTTGTATCCAAAACCTTAGATGTGTTATACAAAGTGTGGAGCTGGCTTCAAAATTAGTTATATACACAGATCTGCTCAATATGTGTGTTCTGCAGTTCACTGCATTACATTTTTGTATAAGACTGTCTAAACTATGCATACAACTTAGTGTATGCACAATGCAACAATTCAGGAGGAAGTCCTTCAATAATGTAAGTAGATCCATGTTAGCCCTTTTAAAAACCCTTTTAGTGTATATCCCATATTTCAATGTAGGTTACACCATCCATCCATTCATGATATGTAGTACATCATCCATGTAAGTGCAACAACAAGACTCAGCTAGTAGATATCTATGCTGTACTGTGTTCGCCACTACATCACTGCAGGTAATTATGTTGACAGCCAAGAGCTGTTAACAACTAGCTCATCTTGGACAAGCGTTGCTGCAAAACATTCATACAATATAACAGTTTAATGAATGTTATTTAGTTTGAAAGTATTTTAGCAAACAATGAAGCACTGTAATTATGTAGTTTATTACAGACAGACCTAAAAGCATCTCATTATCTGTATATTAATTAAAACATGTGTTAAAAATGGATATTGCTTTTTATGGTTACAGATATACTTTTTTGGGATAACAGAACGTATCTTTATAATAATCTATTATATAATATACTGTGTATGTTACTCAAGGCCAACATATCAGGAAACAAGTCATGCATCTGGATAGAAGGTTACTTTTCAGATGTGACTCAGATGACCTTTTGATAGAGGCTTAGTGATCTGAGTCAGTAAGTATGATGATGCACCAGTTTTACATTCAGGAACGGGTTAAAACAGGATGTTGAGCTGAGTATCAATTAAATATGTGTTTATAGGTGTTACTTTGCTTAAATGAACAGTGAACTACGTGTCACTGAGCAGAACTGTGTAGCCTATATAGCAAGAGTTAAAACACCATGGCTGCCCAGTTACTGAAACCATGTGCTAATGTTGTGGGAGATTGATCTTTTAACATGCATGTTCAGATCTCTTGCTGATAAAGGTATAAGGCTGCAAAAATGAACCTGCTACTTTTTTAATATCCTGCCAGTTTAGATATTAAACTGTTTTGCATTAGCTGTTGTTGAAAATGTGGGAATTACTGCTCAGCTTTGTTGTCTTTTTGCATATGTTATCAACTGTTAGAAAATGTTATAGTCTGTTTTCTGCCTTCATTTTCATTTTAAAAAGTGAGGGAGATACCCATTGGGTGTACTGGGTTTACTTGATTTACTTTATTTTTGTAAAGGGATGATTAAAATGTCTGGTACATCCAGGCATTCGCCCCGGCACCTTTCGTCCAGTCAGAAATCCATGGTCACCTTTTACTTTCATGATCATTACTGTACACACAACAGGGCTGTAAGAAGCTGGAGAGAAGAGAATATACAGTAGGGCTGTACTCACAGATCCACAGTTAGGTACCTCACAAACAAAGGTTGCATTGGGCAAAGCAGACATTTGATCAGCTTCTGCCAGTTCATCAAGTTGGATTTCCTGGTCAGGAGACTGTGGTACTTCAGGCTCTTGCTCTCTGCTGGACTTCTTTTCCTCCTCCAACTCTTCCGACTCCAGCTCTCCATCTTCTCCGCTTGCCTGAGGACAAGTACGACACGGTGCTCTTACGTTACGATCACACTAAACTCCTGAACATTACAGGATGGCACGTACTGACATAAAAACACATGCCCTCACACCTGGGCCAATTTTCCCAGAAGCTAATTAACCCACCAGTTTTCAGAAATTAAGAAAACATACAAACTCCACACAGACAGCACCCCAGGAATTGAACCCAGGGTCCCTGCACTGCATGGCAGCAATATTAACCACTGTGCCATTATACCCCTCTTTACCAAATGTTTTGTTTAATGAAATTAACATATACTCCAGACTTTTTGTGATTGGGACAAAAAAGTGCAGAACGGCAATTTTAAATAACATTTTGTGTTGCAGTACTGCCTCTATGTTGTTGTTCTAGACTAGGCAGATATACCCCCTACTTGACCCCTAAGCACAATACGGGATAACACTTTCTCATGCTTAGGGCGGTCTTGGTTACCACTGCATTTCTAAACCCTATACTCTCTATTTTTCATTATGTTTCTAAACAGAAAGTTGTTTTTTCTTCTGGTTATAAAACGTTTTATGTTTGAGTAGCTATACACAAACAATGACACCTGAAGAAGGCTCCACGGCCAAAACGTTGTGTTCTCTTTCTTCTTTTTTTCAGCATGGAATAAACCTATTACTTGTTCCTTTGCAGCCTACACATGCTGACGCAGCTACCCACCTGAACTATACACAAACAATGCTGTCTCTAAATCTCAGAGGTCTCCTTGTCAACATGAGATGTCTCACGCTCTACACTAAGCTCAAAAAATGACATTGTATGTAATTTCCAACTAGCTGTTCCATTATCCCATCGAGAATTATTTTCTAATGATAAAGTTTAACGTAAAACACAAATACACAGCACAGCCCAAAGATACTTTTTTTAGGCTTTACAACTAAACAAATGTGTTACTCTCCGGATCCGCTTTTTCATAATGTCTAAGCAGGCAGATGACTGCTTTCAATGCCTGAGTAACTCAAAGAGAAACACAGATACCCTCACACATGCGAAAGATGCTGACAATGAGCTGCACATACAGGCTTTTCTGTGTCTGCAGGGTAAAAAGGTGGAGAGACACTTGCCATGTCTTCACTCTCCTGGTTAGTCAGGCGGGATCTGTTCTTCTTGCCCAGTCGCAGTCTTTTCTTCCAGGTGTAATAGTATTCAACACACTGTGCCACTGTTTTAGTCTTCACCTACAACAGAGGCACCTTAAGCTTACATACAGTCCATAACACACCCCGTACATTTGCTAAAGAAATGTATGTTTTTCTTTGCCAACAAATTTTCAACAGATTAAAATAATGAGATTTAAATATATGGCAGCAAAAGTTCATTTAAATGGCTAATAATAGTCACCGCTGAGAGAAAGGTCTAGCTGCAATGAACTGCAAAAGGAAAATAGGCTGTGAAAACTAGTTTATACGTTTATAATTTGTAGGACCAGAAATGTATTCTAGAATGAATTTACATCTATTCTGTCATTTCTGCAGCTCTCTAATTGAATGTGTTTCATTGTGGAGGCAAATTAAACCACTGTAATTAAACTATTTCAACAGTTTCTATATAACTATTTGCATTTGACAAAACACTTTGTCAGTTCAGTCTTTGAAAAATTGTAACATTCAATCTGAATTTAATTTGTAAGTTTGTAACAATTAAGTTTGAACATTTGTGTTTCACATGGAGTGTGTTGTGTGTTACAATGTGTAAATAAAGGTAGAATAAATTCTGATTTAATGGGTTTTGATTTGTTAGGCCATCAAATGTGTTATTTTGGAAATGGAGACGTGAAGACTTTCAATATGCACTGTAGCTAAATAATGGAGCAGATTCTTTCATATACTTAAAAAAAGAAATGTATGCTTTTACGATTATTTGAATAATTTTATAGTATCAGTTTTCATGACTGACTACATGTACCACTTTGCTGTTAGATACTGATTCTTGTTAGGCTCACATTTGCCATGCGAAGATGATTAGCAAAAAGAACTCTGAAAAAATATTTCTAAGCTCGTTATCATGACAACTGCATGCCAGAGGCATAAAATGCAAATTTCTGCCAAAGTTAAAACAAATTCAGGCTGAGAACAAGATGGTCTAAACGGTTTGATAGGCCTGTCAAGACTACATAAAGCACTTCGTTTTACTTGAGGAGCTAGATCTACCCCAAGTTTCTTGTATCAGTACCAAGGCAGTAAAACAACCAGTCAAGGAAGCAGTAAAAGGAAGCACCACAGTGCAGAAACTATAGCTCGGGCCGAGAAAAGGTGCAGATCGATTTTTGTGGTTATTAGTGTTATTAGAACAAGGAACACTTGGAATGAAGAGATCAGCAGGTGCTATTCCAGCTGGTATTCCAGTACTTAAATGAAATAATTTTTACATGTACCATTAAACTAGTACAGCAGGCTCTTAAGGCAGGGGGATTCCACTGATAGGGTAACTACTGATGACAATGTTCCATTAAAAGGTGAACAAAACAGAGCCAGAAAACTATAGACCAGTTTTAGACCAAATCACATCTACTTCATACCAATTTTGTGTAAAGATATGGAAAAAATACCAAGAGCTAAGTACTGTAGGAAGACCACCTAAATGGTCATTATATAATTGAAAACTAACTGCTAGGTCAGTGGTTAAGGTAATTCCCCTTGTTCCCCATTCAGGCCTCATTTTGTGTTCATTGAAACTGACCTGCACCTTAAGAAATCTCTGATATCCAAATATTAATATAATCAAAGTATATTTTTTTAAGGCTGTTATTATAAATCAGGTAGTGGGAACATACATTCCAAGTTTTGCAAGGGTGATTCTGAGTTGTAGGAAACAAAGCATGAAATGAATTTGAGTGTTCAAGTAGAAATTGTCTCATGTCTCCTCAAGACAATGTGGAGAAGCAATAAGAAAAAGAAAGGGTTTGGTATATAATTAAAACAGTTCATTTTAAAAAAGACCTCTTTATGGTATTCACTTTTGGTCATTACATCTCTATAAAGACATTACAGCCTTAAAAGGGATTCAAAGAAGAGCAATAAGAATGATTTGTGGTCTCAAGGGATTGTCATTTATGGACAGGAGTAAAGAGTATAAATCTCTTAACATTAGAACAAAGCAGAAATTTTATCCAATTGTATAAAACACTGAGGGATAAGGGTAGGTTGAACCAGTAACCTATGGCTATTTCAGATTCAGCAGCAAAACAAGGACAAAGGGTCAGAGCTGCAAACTGAATGAGACTTCATTTAGGACAGAGCTGAATGTCAGAAGAAGCTGAAGGTGTGTTTCGGCGTGATTGAGAGATGTACTGTAACTAGCAACAGATGAAGCGTCCTACATTTACAGCAATGAGAAACATTGGCACGCACGTGCTTTTTGACAGGGATCAATTTTTACACAATGTGTTTATTAAAAACAAGGGTGATAAACACACTAAGCTTAAAACGAAACAGTACAAAATTGTAATAAGTTTGTAAATACAATAAGGTATATTAAGCTTTGAATATTTCCTTGTTGAATTGTTGAATCAAATTATAGTTAAGACTTTGTATGGGTAAACACATCAAAACGGTAAACTAATGTTTGAAGCTTTCAGAAAAGCAAAAAAAAACAAAAAACGCAAGCAGATAAGAATTTAAAAGCACCCCAATTTACTGAGACCAACGCCCTCTCCAAAAACTCACTCTACGTCTTTTGATTTTGCTTATGCTTACAACAAGTGGTGACAGGTTCAAGGCAAAGAGGCTGCCAAGACGATAGGAAATATACATCTCTAATGACACATTTGGCCTGCAAATCAGCAAAAGGAGCGTTAAAGGTCAGCTGACCAGAGTAATTTGTGATGGGAGCAACGCAGCTGTACAAAACCACCTGTTTAGTGTAGCGCAGCTTAAAAGGCTTCTTTCTTTTCACCAGTGTGAATTAACCTCCATGTCATTCTGTGCAATTTAACTCACACTGCTGATGCAGCAACTCTCTAGTTTTGTTACCGAAATGTAACGTATAATTTCCTTTGTAAAATTTACATTAAATTGAGATTTTATTTAATAAAATGTTGATACTTGCCTTTCTACTTAATTATTCATGTTAGAAGAGTACAAAATGGTAGTACACTTTGACTTCCAAAAGGAATATTTTATATAAAACTGCATTTTCTTAATATCTGCTAGGAAAATAAAAGCTGAATTTATATAACTTTGCTTCATATTAATATTTTGATCTTACATATAATCTTACATATAAATGTTAGAACATTATTAGAACATAAAAAACAAGAAATTGACTGTAAACTGAAATTTTATTCATAGGCAGGTTCTACAAGCTCTGTGCTTCCCATTATATAAAGTGTATTTTTCTTGTTAGTAGCACTCTGAACAGCGGACGTTAATTTGACATATGATTGCCCAGATAACCGGTTCTTACAACTGTGCCCCTGTCTTCGAGAACTCCTGGAAATAGTTAAATCAGTGTTTCAAGACTAGCACCTAGAATTAGCATGTGGAAAAAACTACAGCCCTGAACTGCAGGACTTTGTATGTGATCTAGTAGTACAGTATCCTCAGAGGCCTTACCAAAATCCTGCTGTAAGAACTTGTTTTTGTGTCTTCCAAGACTGAGGTCTTCAAGTCAGAAACTGCAGCTTGCTTTCTTCCAGACAAGCACATTCACATTGACATAATTCAGAGCAACTAATAATTTAAAATATTATTTTTTAAGCTCCATCACATTATTTTATTTTTTTACTGCCAATCAGCACATCAATTCCGTCATTATCTCCCTTCTGTTATTTTATTACTCATCCAACAAACGTACTCCTTGAGTACTGCAAATTATTTTTGTATTGTTTCCCTGTATATGTTTGTCATCCTGTGTCTGTGGCAAAGAGAGAAAGACATACTGGAAGTGCAATTTAACACCCCCTCACTCTGCTACACTCCAACGCATACACCCACCTACAACGATTGGTGCGCACACACAATTTCATTTGTGTGGACAACTTCACTTGTATGTGATACAACGAACAGAAGGCAATGGAATTAGTGCTGAATGTTCTCCCAGAAATATGGAACTTCCATTAATTACCTATTTAAATTGTGAGTTATCTACAGCCAAGAGAGGTGAAATAAGCCCAGGAGAAAAATACAGAAAAAGGGTGATAAAAATTCTTTCCTTAATTGAGAAAGTGATTGCACAATGTATTATCTAACAGCTTCTCATATAAGAGTTCTATATTTGATCCTAAGTCTTTAAGACTCATTACTTAAAGGTGTTTATATTCACACATCTTTTACAGCCTCTGGACAATGTGAAGGAGCAATTGAAAAAGAAAACAAAGTGCTAAGACATACGTATAGTTTAAAGCATGTTAAAACTGTGTAAGGTACCAGTAAGACCTCATTTAGAACATTGTGTACAATTTTGGTCACCACCATGTTATAGAAAAGACAATACAGCTCTGGAATCAGTGCACCAATGAGTAACCTCATACATTCTGGGATTCAGGGGAATATCCTGCACTGACTGGCTGAAGGAACAGCACCTTTTTAGTCTTGAACAGAGAAGACTGTGGGGGAACCTTACAGAAGGATTCAAAATCATCAAAAGGATCAAAAAAGTCAACCCAGTGGATTTCTTCAGAACGCACAGGGCAATACAAATCAGAGGACACAAGTCTAAACTGCGTGGAAGTGCAATTTAAACTGAGGACAGGAGGCATTTCCTTACCCAGAGGGCTGTGGCAGTTTGAAACAAGCTACTTGGCTATGTTGTTGAAGGTGATACCCTGGTTTCTTTCAATGAATGAATAGATGAGATGCTTGGATTAACTTGCTACTAACTGCCAAAAGAGCTAGATGGGTCAAACACCCTCATCTCCTTTCTAACCTTTCTTAAATTCTTCTTATGTTATCATTTTCCTACTGTACAGTAGTCACCTCAATTTCCATGAAGCAATTTTGCACAGATCAGCTCTTGGATCACCCCCAAATGTAAACTACAATACAAACACCTAAAATACTACACACTATCTGCCTGCATTGAAATATGGATGCTACAAGTCAGCCAAACTTGGGTGTTTGCATGCAATATTTGCAATAATCTCACTTCCAGCCACAAACAAGAGCTGTAGATTATTATGATACGAATTCTGAGATCAAAGGGCAAGGAATGAAAAAGTCAGTTCACTTATTGTTGAGCTGCTCCTTTGAAACTGAGTTAAAACAACAATACAATACAAGAAAGGTACAAAGATATCAAAATCCATTTCACTCACCTCTATAAATGCCGTTAACTACCAAAAGAAACATCTGTGCTTAAGGACTATAACGGTGATATGAAAAGATTGAAACAAAAACATAAGCAACAATAACGACAGGTCCAGTATCACCAATAATATAAAAATGAAGACAATAATTTACCATTTTCTGTACATAAAAGAAATCCTTGTTGTGCACAGCTAAGGCTTTGTTCAGTTGCTTCTTCTCCAGAACTGACCATTTATCAGATCCTGAGGTGGGACAAAAAAAAAAACAGAAATGGATTTCAGTTTCCATTTGAGCAAAGTTGCAAGGACCAATAACCAAATTTATCATAAAAGAGAGGTGGCTTCAACATTAGAGGTCTTTGAGGTTTCTATGTATGTGTACAGGCTAGTGAAAAGTCACATTTAAAAAAACCCAATCTATTACAGTCACAAGGTCCTTATGTAAGCATTATCTTCCAAAGCCCCATTCATAACTCAAGTTGCTCCCAAGTCAAAACAATTGCTCCCATAAGAAATAATGCGATCAGCAGTAACTGAGTAGGTAGGTAGGTCCCTTTTCAGGACATTAAGGCCCATGGGGGGAATGGGGGGCAAGGGCCACCATTTTTCTCGACCATCCGACGCTGGAGGTGGACATGGTGTGGTCACCTGGGAGCCATCTGGAAGGAATTAGAGCAAGCTACATTGAACCCAGGACCTTCCAGTCAGGAACTAGACGCCCTTTCCGTCTGAGCTACAATGTCTCCTGTAACTGAGTACCTAAGCTTACAAATAAAGCACTTTGAACCTAAAACATAGTGGCTACACAGCAAGCTAAGGTATAACACATAAACCACCAACGACTTGCTTGGAACAGTAGTGCATCATCTCCAAATCCAAGTACTTTTTAATGTTCATGCAGGTTTATACAGTCGTTTTCTGTTGAATAAAAGGAATGTGCCTTTGGTTCTGATTCTCCACTCACTTGATTAACACTTGCTCTATTTTCTCAACACACCACTTCCTTTCTCAGTCATTGTGGTTAACTGGACTGGTGTGGAACTTCTGGAATTTTGGAACAAGTAAATGTTGTTCCAATAATGAATGACTGAGGCCAAGAGAAGTGCTAATGGGTGATGGAGATTCACTGTTTTCATGCCTTTTTGTGATGTCTACTTTCACTTCAAAGCTTATGGCCCCCTTCCTTCTTTAGAACTAGAATCCTTCTTTGGAATGTCATTGTCACTTTTCTTTTTCTCAGGCATTGTTATGAGCTACTAACACTAAAAAAAACACAACATGATAGACAAATGTTGGACGTTAACGTGAACTGAATTACAGAGCCACTGACCAAGTGACTGACTATACCCAGTGTCCTTGAGCCACACCCCCTTGTAATACTGAGAAGTGAGGCTTAATTCTGTTGTTATATTCTGGGTGTATGCGCTATTATGCCCTTTGAAATTCGTACTATTTCTTATGGGAACCAGTTAAGATTACAGATATCTATGCAGTGTATATATAGTTAGTTCATAGAGTAATACATTACCTTCTATCTATCTATCTATCTATCTATTATTACAGGGTCACTGGGGACTTGGGAGTCTATCCCAGCAAGCAATAGACACAAGGCAAGATACATCCTGGATGGGATACCTGGTTGTCTCAGGGCCCACACATACACACTCACACCAAGCCAGTTTTCCCAGAAGCCAACTAACCTACCAGGACTGGGGCAGGAAACTGGAGCACACAGAGGAACATAGATGCTAACACAGGGAGAACATACAAACTCTAAACAGAGGAATTGATCCCAGGGCCCCAGTGCAATGCTGATCACTGTGCTGCCATAAAGCATTACCTCTTAAAAGCAAGTTCTCCAATTTCTTATTTTTAAAAAGTAATCATTCGCACAGGGTAACTCCAACACTGTCTGTTGACATGATGATGAAACTCACTTTAGCATTATTTAAGGTGAGGTTATTACCATAAAGAAGGAGCTTCATTGAGAACCCCTTTTCAACATTTAAGTTCCATACTCTTGCTATGCAGCAGAAAAAATGAGGGCAATGACCTACCGGCATAATGGTAATCAGCAAGAGGATGGGATTTTGGTCTCAAAGGTCTCAGCATGAGCAGTTTTTCCAGTGTAGCCTGAGAAATAGAGACAAGGAATAAAAGATGAACATTTAGCCTCCGCTGGTAAGGGTCAATATGTACTTTAGAATTAAGTTTAATAAAGCATTCAATATTCAAGAATATAAAATAATACATACTATTTCAGTGCACTGTAACTGACATTATATACACATGTAGCATTGTTTGTATTCATATTCTTAAGTATAGTACAGTCTACAAATACTCTATAAATTTCTCTATAAATCAAATGTATTGGTTAAAAACACTGAGCTGTTATAGGGCAACGGTGCTATTTTTATTACTAAAATAACTAAATAATTTTTTCTCCTTTATAAGCACTCACTGAATCATAACAGAAGGCTGAAGGGAAGCTCAGCTGTTCGTACCAAAGACAGAATTCTGGGATATTTTCAAGACACTCCACGCTTTTGACTAGGAATTTTCAATACAATGATAGATCAATCCAATGCCCATAATTTTTTATCTGTTAATTTCTTGACCTAGTCGAATAATAACTCTCCAAAAGTATCTTGCCCCAATTGAAGTAAATTATTTACATTATTATGACATTTTGGTATTGGCCAATAAGGTGTACCAAGAAAGGTAACACATACTGTACAGTAAGTCAGTACAAACTCTCAATAATTCAGCAAGGGTTTGTAACAATGAAGGCTGACTATATGCAGATCTACTGATGGAAGTGTTTCTTCTAAAAGTAAGAGCTTTAGAACTGAGAACAATGTGGAAAAAGCATGAAACAAGAAAATGGAGACATAAATTCTGATGTTTTTTTCTTCGTAATTTACTGTATACATAGTGCGCTATCAATAAAGGGATTTAAGGGAAGAAACACTTTGCTATCTCATGTTTGCGCAATATAGAAAACAGAAAACCACAGTCTACAGTTAAGACAACACAGTTTACACCATGCTGTTCTGTGTGTTATTCCCCTGTGGGCCTCTGGGGTGTGTCTGTCTTTCCAGGTCCTCACCATGATGTTTCCTCTGCTCTCAAACAAACAGTGCAACGCATATTCAGAGTTGGTTCCCCCTCCAGGCAGCACACTGGAACAGGCCATTTTAACCAGATTGTCCACTGCCGGGAGATGAAGGCACAGGAGGACAGAGAGAAAAATTTAGGTGGATGGAGAGGGGGCAAGAGAAAGAATGAGAAGCAAGGAAAAAAAAAACTTTGTCAAAGACTTCTGCACATGCTGATTCACATGCACAAAGTGACACAAATCGAATAACAAATAAACCTAATTTTCAATCATATCTGGAAACCATTTGCTCTTGTACAAGAACTTGATGCAAAACTTTCTAAGCAAAAAAGGATGAATCACCATTGACGTAGGTGTCTGCCAAGGAAATATATATTATTGCTCTATAAGGATAATATCCCAGGAGTGGTTAATGTCTGCGATTTTTTACCAGGGAAAAAAAATGTCTCTCTCGTGTCATAGTTACAGTGGCGTGAAAAAGTGTTTGCCTAATTTCTTATTATTTTGCATGTTTGTCACACTGAAATGTTTCAGATCATCAAACAAATTGAAATATTAGACAAAGATAACACAAAATGCAGTTTTTAAATGAAGATTTTTATTATTAAGGGGAAAAAAAAATCCAAACCTACATGGCCCTGTGTGAAAAAGTGATTGCCCCCCCTGATAAAACATAAATCAACTGTGGTTTATCACATCTTTGGAAAGCTGAGTTCAATTTCTCTAGCCACACCCAGGCCTGATTACTGCCACACCTGTTCTCAATCAAGAAATCACTTAAATAGGACCTGCCTGACAAAGTGAAGTAGACCAAAAGATCCTCAAAAGCTAGACATCATGCTGCGATCCAAACAAATTCAGGAACAAATTAGAAACAGAGTAATTGAGATTTATCAGTCTGGAAAAGGTTATAAAGCCATTTCTAAAGCTTTGGGACTCCAGCGAACCACAGTGAGAGAACATAAAGAACATAAAGGCTGGTCTCAGTTTTGCCAGAAAACATCTTGATGATCCCCAAGACTTTTGGGAAAATACTCTGTGGACTGTTGACACAAAAGTTGAACTTTTTGGATGGTGTGTGTCCCATTACATCTGGCGTAAAAGTAACACAGCATTTCAGAAAAGGAACATCATACCAACAGTAAAATATGGTGGTGGTAGTGTGATGGTCTGGGGCTGTTTTGCTGCTTCAGGACCTGGAAGACTTGCTGTAGTAAATGGAACCATGAATTCTGCTGTCTACCAAAAAATCCTGAAGGAGAATGTCCGGCCATCTGTTCGTGACCTCAAGCTGAAGCGCACTTGGGTTCTGCAGCAGGACAATGATCCAAAACACAAGAGGAAGTCGACCTCTGAATGGCTTAAGAAAAACAAAATGAAGACTCTGGAGTGGCCTAGTCAAAGTCCTGACCTGAATCCGATTGAGACGTTGTGGCATGACCTTAAAAAGCGGTTAAGGCTCGAAAACCCTCCAATGTGGCTGAATTACAACAATTCTGCAAAGATGAGTGGGCCAAAATTCCTCCACAGAGCTGTAAAAGACTCATTGCCAGTTATTGCAAACGCTTGATTGCAGTTGTTGCTGCTAAGGGTGGCCCAACCAGTTATTAGGTTTAGGGGGCAATCACTTTTTCACACAGGGCCATGTAGGTTTGGATTTTTTTTTTTCCCTTAATAATAAAAACCTTCATTTAAAAACTGCATTTTGTGTTTACTTGTGTTATCTTTGTCTAATATTTCAATTTGTTTGATGATCTGAAACATTTCAGTGTGACAAACATGCAAAAAAATAAGAAATCAGGAAGGGGGCAAACACTTTCACACCACTGTATATGACTGGCACCCAATATGCAGACAAAGTGTGCATGAGAGTTACGGAGAGAGTACCTTTCTGCTGAGCGCCCGGAGAGTCCAGGTCTGGCTCGGGGGTCCACACCAGGCTGGCTTTGTGCAGGTCTCGCTCCACCCTGGAATGTCTCCTCAGCTCAGGAATCACAGCCTGGAACCGCGGGCCAATGTTGATCCGTCTGCAATTGGTCAATAAACTCAGTTTTATCACGGTACCTTCATCTAAACCCAGACCGTTTTTCATATAGTTGGAAAACAACCGTTTTAATAAATGAGTTCAAGTAGGCAGCTGCGTCAGCATGCGTAGGCTTCAAAGGAACAGGTAAAGGTTTATTCCATCCTGAAAAGAAAAGAGACCCAGAGTTTTGACTGTGGAGCCTTCTTCGGCTGTGATGAATTGTTTTAAAAGCTTGGAACAGTGATGTCTGAATCAATGATGTCGATATCGTTCGCTTGGTCAAGGGAGGGTGCAACATGGGCTTGATACTTGGGCTTGGTACTTACGGCTTCACATCCACAGGCTGCTCTCCTGAACCTGGGGTCACTGCCACTGCACTGCTGTCCACACTACCTGCCAGCCAGGACACAGCACTGTAAGTTAACACTGACCACCAGGGCAGAAGAACAAATTAATTTCACCTCCAGGTCTCACTGCTCTGAGTCTTAACCCTGCATCGATTAGTTTAATATTACCAAAGTCATTTATGAACTTTTGCTACCTGTTTTCAGTCATCACATAAACAGAAGGAACATTATAAAAGGGTTTCTGGCTGGGTTATAAATAAACACACGCACAGATACTGTGATTCAGAAACGACTGATGCTTTTGATGGTAAACTGAATTACTGAATAGGAGACTGAGGATTCTAATATTTAGATGTTTCAGTATTATTCCATTAATTGATTAAAATGCTTCTACCGTTTTTTACATTTTACTTCTTTTCCAACTTTTTATTTAAGCCCAGAAATTAGCCACGGTGATTGAATTTTTTTCTGTATAAAACAGCAGTAAGTTTCATTTTTCTGTATTTTCTATATGCAAAAGATATCTTCAGATCTGCTACAAAAAAGGTGGGCTGAAACAGGGAAAAATATCCAGTGGATTTATCCTCATACATTTGAAAGCAATTTGTGCAAATTAGGGTTTTTCAACAACAAATCATCTGTCAGTGTGGTGTGTAACAGTTTACTATAAACCAATCATATTAAAGTGTAAATCAGTCACTTAACTAATCACCCAAAAGGCAACACAAGCTGGAAGAAAAAAAAACTGTATTAAATAAGATCTGTTTCCCTAAAATGGACAATACATATAAACATCTGCTGTTCACAGGTGTTCAATAAGGGGATCTATACAGGAGAAGGCATTCTGTAGACACACTAGTTGCTCTTTAAGCTGTCGCAAGAAAAGCGAGACTACTTATTTGCAGCCTGTTGCTTGCTAATTCAACAGGCACGTGTGAACACAAGGTCCGTGTCTGTCTGGAGCTGTGTGAAGAAAGGAGTAGGTGAAGGGAAGGCTGGCGTACTCACTGGCTCTGCAGAGCAGCAACCGGGGGGTTATGGGTGTTGGCTGCCCACCTGCGTGCAGGTACCCGCTGTTTACGCTGCTGAAGAGCCCCGAGCCTTGGCGGACCGGACTCAGCATGGGAGGGGGCGTGTACGGGGGGGGATCCCCCAGGATTCTCGGGGAGCGCAGCTGGCTCTGGAAGAGTGTGGCGCCCCCGCCGGACAGGCCCCCACAGGGCGAAGGGATGATGAGGGGCTCGGGACGGTGGCGGTACTTCTTCTTGTCCTGCTGCCCTCCCCTCACCCCGCTGCCTGCCATCTTCTCTGCCTTCTGGGCACGGCGGATTGGGTCCTGGAAAACAGTAAAATCCAGTTTTGTACAACTAACTTAATAATTTTCAAAGTCAACTTGTTTACCACAACTGCAGGTACAGTACAGAACCACCAAGCGAGTTTATGACCAGCCAACATGCAAAATCAAAAACAACTTACAACCTGCTGCACAAACGTAATTATCAGCAGAGTTAAACTCACAAAATAAAATACGGCAAGATTCAGACACATTATTTAGCTGTCCAGATTCTCTGCACTCAGTTCCAGCACTCTATATGTCAAATAAATCGATTTATTAACCACGGTATTTTTATAAACCCCAAATGGGCTTGTGAGGCACATTTTTTCGAGCAACGTCTCAACAGGACCGAAGCACGTCTTAGGCAGAGAGGTGACGCTCACACAGAAAGGCGGAAGAAGGCGGGTGAGGCTTAGGGCACTGAACAGGCCGAGCGAGCAAGCAGTGGCAGGTCATGGCCGCACTCACAGAGGGCACGGGGCTGGGATGGGCCGCTCCAGAGCCGGGCAGTAGACACTGCTGCTGCTGCTGCAGGGCCTGTGGAGGTTCGCTGGTCGGGCTGACGAGAGTGGCGGCTTCGCTGTCAGGGGGGCGGCAGGGAGTGGGAGAGAGGTCTGGGGTTGGCGCTGCCAGGGGAAGCTTTACAGGCACAGAGACAGGCATGATGATGGGAAGCAGGGGCTCCACCTCTTTGGGCAGCTGGGTGTCCCCTTCTTCCTGCACACAGACAAGGACACAGGCTGTAAGACCTCTGGACAGAGAGGAGGCAGAGGGGACGCGTGCAGAAAACTCTGGACAACAACTCGGTCTTCCTCAGTGTTTGAGGTCAAATGATTCACTATTATTCTGGTTTATTAACATTACTTTTACTGTACCTGGTAAAATACAGATAAAGTGTTTGAAGCCAACAAATCTTAAAGATGTTGCTATGAAGATTCTTTTTTTATTTTATGAATTTATAAGGGATAATAGACCCTTAGCAGTTCATCTTGTATGACCATGTAAAACCAGGCAATGTTACTTCCTGTTTATGTGACTCAGTAGGTTGTGCAAGCTAAGTATACACTGCTAATAAAAATAATAAATACACCAATAGTCATTATTTAAAAGTATACAAATAGACCCCTAGAAATCAATAAAACCAGGTTAATAAATGGTAAATTCACTAAATGCCTTTTTTTCTGTTGGATTTTAATGGTTGGTCTATTTTTTGAATGTGGAAAGAATTAACATTTTACACCAGTCTTCAAAGCGAGTGTGTCAGAGCTTGAAGCTTCCTCCCATCGTCTCACTTACTTAATCTTCATGATATCACATTTTAAGAGATTTCAGAGAACCACTAAATGACATTTCCAGGATGTGGGGGTGTGAGGCAGTTTTTCATGGAAACAATTAAGTTTACACGTAAAATTGTCATTTTTAGATGTCATTTTGATGTACAATTTCTAAAGTATTTAAGTTTTAAATATAAAATTTGTAACAACAGCAAGGGCTACAATGACAAAATGGTTACAGAAAACATTTTTAAGGAACAAATGCAAAAATATGCCCATGACATCTGATATTATGTCCCACAATTGTCATCCTTTAACATACCAAACAGATCCCTAAATATGTTAGGTCAAATGTTCCTTGGGATGTCACATTAGACATTAGATTAATACACATTATGTATTAAGAGGTGTTGATTTTCCAGTTGAGAGTTACGACATTGTGTGTATATACTGTATATAAACATTTACAGTCCCAGTACATATCATATATTAATGTATTATATACACACACCACACAAGCATAAATCCTCATATAAGTTACACAGATTCCTCAGTGATAAAATGCACTTTCCTGCCAAGATTATCACAGAAGTGACAATGTCAGGCAATGTGTTCAAGGAATGCATTACACGCATTTACTATATTATTAAACAGCACTTCAAAGCACATAAACCAAAGTCAGACAAAAAGCACAAAGCACCAAGCACCATTACAAATGCTGTACACCCGCTGAACCACAGACTGAACTCTTGGATACCAGGCAAGAGGCTGGAATTTGTACCATCTTTCCTGAGAGCTTAAAACTGAATAAAATACAACTATTTTTCACTAAGGATGAGAAGACTACTTCACGATAAACTGTGAGATAGTTTCCACCTCTACTATACTACTATAGTATTAACACTTAAAAAAGGCCTTTCACCAAAGCAAGGCAGTATATTTCTGAAATAATGTAACTTAAAAGCACATTGTCTTCTATAACATCACAACTTCATTGTTTAGTTTAACATGTGATTGTTTCCTATCCAGAGCTGATGAAAAGCAGCTAGATTGTCATTTTACTGTTATCATACAATGATTCATTCAAGTTCAGGTATTTTTGTTAAGTGTAACTTCCAGTTTGTGGTTCCTTGGCACAAAAAAAGAGCCTAAAGCAAGCAAAAAGCACCTGGGAATAGGGGAACAATGGGGACATAAGTAATTACAAACAATGAAAACTGCTGATGGCCCAAAACAACGCAGTGGGAGGTCTGAACTATACACCATGACAAGCCTCCTCCTCACCTGTTTTGGACCAGGTAGTGCCCTCATTCCACCATGGGAGCGCATATGTCCATTGAGCGCCGGGAGACTTTTAAACTCCTTCTGGCAGATTGAACACAGGAGCTTGATTTTTGTGTCTTCCCTCTCCAGCAGAGGAGTGTTAGTCAGGGCACTGTGAACACACACAAACTGCAACTGAGCACTCAGTTGGAGATCCTCCACAGCAGCATGCCAGTGGCTCAGAAATACTTCACAATGACACCGTCTTGTAAGTAACTCATAGCCACGAACCCAGGGAAAGAGGACATTTAAATTAAAAGTGCCCAGGCATCAACTACAAATATATATTAACCATAATAATAAAGAGGAGACAGAGCAGTACAATTTTGGCAAACCTGTGGCAAAAAGTGTTTTGGGGTCAGAAGAGAAAAAAATTGAACTTTCTGGTCAAAATGCAAAATGTTACATCTAGCACAAAAACAGACTTGAATCTTACTAAGAAGTTGTAGAATGACACAGCTGCAGCCCATAATCGATCCAACACTAACTTGGGAGAGCATGAGCAAATCTACCAGTAATAATTGGCAGAAACAGCTCCAGGTCCAAGTTGGTGTGCAAAGTTAGTAGAGACTTCAACAAAAAGACCTGATGCTGAGGATCTGTAGGTTCTTTCACCAGATATTGGGTCAATGGGTCTAAATGCTTATGCAATCAACATATTTCAGCTATTCTCCCTACATTTACTGGAATTTGTCATACCCATAGAAGTCTTCAGTTTGAACATTCAGGTTTTGAATAAAATACAAATTCAGAAAAAAATGTGTATGCATCGGTTTGTAATTTTAGCAACTTTTTAGCAAGGGTCTGAATACTTTTTTTAGCAAGGCTCTCTATATACTGACTAAATAACTATATTATACTTTATATAATATGACTAACTCATAGCGTACAATAATCTTGGTCCTGGGCAATGGAGGTTCAGTGCTCCTTGTGCTCCTTCATGGCTGAAAAGCAGTTACCTGGCTGAGGCACATTACAGAGATACAGTAGCTGTACTTACTATATTCTGAAATCATGTGAACCACTATTATAGCACACAGAGGCCAATCGACTAATGGTGGGGGTCAATATGGTAATTTTGTGCACCTGAACCAATTTAGGTTTGCCATAGCACAGGAACCAATATTTATGCAATCAATTTATTTTAGCAATTGTTTTTTTCTTTGCGGTTTTGACGGGCATTTAACTTCTTTCACCCATAAAAGAGTTCAGTTGGAGAATTCAAATTTAATACAAAAAGATTCACTGAAAAATTGTGTATACATCTTTTATAATACAGCAAAATGTGCCATCACTAGAATGGGTGAAGACAGGGCATTGTATATTTCACAGATAGACAGTAGATACATCTCTGCATTACTGACTCCATACTCCACTATACAGTACATCACTCAGGGTCAACTGATGCTGTTTATCTCATAGCTCTTATCTCTACATATATCGTTCTGTCCCTACTTAGTGGAATGATACTGTTCTGTGGCTAAAAATGTCACAAACAATACTGATTTCACAAGAAGTCTAAATGAACATCTGTTACCAAACTGTGTCATGTGTCCTTTTTTAGATTTCATTTTTGTTTCCAAATAAGAGACAGTTCCCTGTAGCCCTGAATAAAGAACTGCAGATTTGTACCTGTGATCTGGGGATGCAGTCTCTACCTTGACGTTTGACAATGACCCCTAAGGAAGATAATAAAAGAAGAGTTGAGTACAAGTAGGCCATCCACAGACTAATCATTAAGAATGAGTTTTATCACCAGTAATCAGGATCATTACAAAATCAGATTTGTGCTGGGAATAAAGTTATATAAGATGGTAAAGGTAAAATCTATAACACTGACTCGTTCGCCAGAGTCCATCCTTATTACTATAGCATTAAAGTATTAAAGTATAGACACTACTACATCCCATCATGCTTTGTACCTGACTGAAGAGCAATAGAATATGGCTGACGTAGCTCTATAAGCCCGTATCTTAGACCTGAGAAGAGTTGTATTTTCACCACCTACTGTACCTGTGTCCACATGGCAGTGGGAGAGTGGAGCTGCCGATGGGCCCCTCCTTTGCTGTTCACCAGCTGGATGGTTGGGATGGCTTCGCGAACTTGCCTCTGATTCTGCTGGTGGGGGGCGCAGGACATGACCATGGGGGGATGGGGCTCTTGGCACACCAGACTGTCTGCCCTCGTGTTGGGGACCCCTTGGACTGCAGGGCTAGGGTCCCCAGGAGTGTGCTGGCTTGTGCTCAGGAGGTGGCAGCCCGGTTCGGGAAGATACTGTTTTGGTGGTGACTGGAGGCCCATATCCTCCTGTGACTGGACCTGCTGCTGCATCTGGAGATTGGGCTGGTAGAGCTGTCTGTACTGGTCCTGCTGCTCTTGGAAATAGTACTGGGTCCCGGAGGAGAGCTGGAGGTTCTGGATGGAATGAACCTGCTCTGGCTGGGAATAGGAGTGGTGCTGCTGCTGCTGCTGCTGCTGCATGGCTTTCCGGTTCTGATTATACAGGGGTATGGCAGCAGGAGGTTGCATTTGCTGCTGCGCCTGATGCATGGCTGGATGAGAGTGCTGGTGGTAATAAGTGCTGCGCTGGTGCTGTTGCTGCTGCTGCAGCTGCTGCAGGACAAGCGCGTGCGCCGTGAGCTGCGTCTGTTGCTGTGCTTGTGGCTGCAGGTAGAACTGGTTTTGCTGCTGCACTTGCTGCTGTTGCTGCATTAGCTGCTGCTGCTGGGACTGCAGGCTCTGTATCTGCTGACGCTGCTGCAGGGCTTGCTGAATCTGCAGATGAGCCACTCTTTGCTGTTGCTGTTGTTGCTGTAATTGCTGCTGCTGGTACTCGAAAAAGAGCTGCTGCTGCTGTTGGTGTTGCTGCTGGAGCTCCTGGACGTGCTGCTGTTTGGGCTGTGCCTGGTCGAAGCTCCTCTGTACTTGCTGCTGCTCCAGTTGGTATCGCTGCTGGGAAGGCTGCGGCTGCTGCTGTTGTGGCAAGGTCACCTGCTGGGACTCCTGACCAGGGGGTTTATGGGAAAGCAGCTGGCGAAGGGTGCTGTCCGTGGTGGTGCTGGCTAGAGGGGAGACGCCCACTTGCCTGTGCTGAGCCATGCTGTTGGCACTTCCGTTACCGGCATTGCCTTGGTGAATCCGCAGGTTTTGGTTGGCAAAGACCTGGGTAAATGAATCCAACTTCTGCAAGACGCTGCTGGTGACTTTTGGCTGCCCATCGGTGCTTGTCTGTGCTGTGGTGTTGTACTGGTACCCACCGCCATTACTGCCGTCTCCAATGTCTGGAGGCTCCCCTTGTGTGGGCGAGCCCCACATGGCAGGGGCACCCCCCATACTGTTTCGATGATGATTGGCAGATCCGGGCCAGGAGCCGGCAGCTTTGGAAACCTCCACCATTCCTGGAAAACCCTTTACAGACACGGCAGAACCATCTCGGGAGTCGTGAGGGAACTGGGGAGAGACCGGGGAAGACTGCAGTGGTTCCATGGCAGTTGCCCCATAACTATGGTTCATTGAGGCCATGGAGCTCTGCTGCTGATGCTGGAAATAGCTGCTGTCAGTGCAATTAACATTGTGGTTTGTCTTGTAGACAGACTGGTCCTCCATTGTGAACTTTTTTCAAAGTTTTTTTAAACAGAACGTGATCTTTTATTTAAAAAAATAAATACAAAAAGCCCTGAGGTTCCCTGAGTGTCAACTTAGGTTCAACTATCAAAAATGGAGAACATGAAAGCGATTTAGTCCTGGATTTAATCTCGTCAGGTACTTCACATCTTCATCTGGGCATGGGCATTGTCCTGATTGAAAATAACCTTGAAAAAGATGCCTACATAAAAAGAAATAAAAAAAAGTCACATGAACATCATTATATCAGTGATTCTTACTACTGCTGACATGCCTGAAATAAAAATGTAATATTAATTTAATGGAAATATCATAATTTTATAACAGGTTTGAATGCTATTATTTCTGCTGTAAAATCAATGTAGCTCTCACTGACATAATTCATTGATATTCCTCATACATTTTAATAAATAATAAGTGTTTACATTTGTACAGCAATTTATATGAGACGGATCCACTTATCCCCCACAGAATTACAGATTACTTCCCCAATTAAATGAAGGAGAAAATTTAGGGAGGCTCAACTGTGATGAGCTCAAAGTGGAATTTGACCAGGGCACTCCTACACTGACCAAGTAGACAGACTTAATGTCTCATCGATTCCTATCGCACAGTGCCCCCCGTCATCATACTGGGGCTGTCACTGGTTTGGAATTGCTTTTCTAGAGGGAACATTGTCACATACTGGTCCACCAACACCTCTATACATTTGTGTTTAAAGCAGGATTTATTTTACTTTATTAGCTTGTGGATGTGTGAGGAGGAATAGTATGGCATTTATACAACTAGTAATAGGTTTATTCCATGCTGAAAAAAAGAAGAAAGAGAACACAACGTTTCGGCCGTGGAGCCTTCTTCAGGTGTGCGACACCTTCAGCACACCTGAAGAAGGCTCCACGGCCGAAACGTTGTGTTCTCTTTCTTCTTTTTTTCAGCATGGAATAAACCTATTACTTGTTCCTTTGCAGCCTACGCATGCTGACGCAGCTACCCACCTGAATTTATACAACTATACTAGCATGAGTTAAATCATGGATTTTCCATCATTAAACAAGATTTAGAGTACTGTACTCAAGGCAGCCAATTTTACTGGTTAGGTCCTAAAGCTTGGCCTTCATGTAAAACTAAATACAGGGACTAGTTCAGGTGGGTAGCTGCGTCAGCATGCGTAGGCTGCAAAGGAACAAGTAATAGGTTTATTCCATGCTGAAAAAAGAAGAAAGAGAACACAACGCGAAACGTTGTGTTCTCTTTCTTCTTTTTTTCAGCATGGAATAAACCTATTACTTGTTCCTAAATACAGGGACTGTCAAATTCTTTTCTTACCAAACTGTTATTCTTATTTTTTTTGTGACAAAAATAATTTCTGAAAATAAAACAAATGATGAAATTCACTGTAATCCAACAACCACACTGTAGTAAGGTGAATGCACTGATGTAACATAGGCATACTGAGTTGTAAGTGAAATGCTACAAACAGGGGTTCCTGGACCAACAAGGTCCAGTCTAGCTAATCTCTTAAATTCTACTAAGATCAGGCTACACATGCTAAAGCAATCAGAGAAATATACCCCCCATATAACATTATTTCTATGAACAATGATGCTTACTGATTCATAGACCATTATCTAATAACCTCAATAACAATAACGCAAACACCATATTAATAGATATTTTTAAATTAAAATGATAGTTTGTTATTGTGCACTCCAGCAGGCCATAAGAAAGATTTTACTAGTGAACTGCAGCATTTTCTTTGGTATGACCTGACCTGATATGTTTTATGCATATTGCATATAATATAAAGCATACTGCAGCCTACGCATGCTGACACAGCTACCTACTTGAAGTACTTCATGATATGTTTTTATGTCTGCTTATAGACATTGCTTTAGCTTTGTGAACTGGTGGAGGGCATAATCCCACCTTGCAAGATCAGGTTGGTACTGACTTGACAATTCAATGTAGCTCTACTGATGCAGAGAGCAGTATATAGACATATATAGTCAACATGAAGACAAAAACACAAAAAAGACACATACTGCTGCATGGAAGAAAAGACTGATCTGTTAACAACCAATATGTAGTACTAATTTTCTACATTAATCCCAATTGAACGAAAATGCATTTGTTAACATTAGAACTCCACTGTATGGGGGAAATCCTATTGGCTTGCTTGGCTTTGACAGTGTTGAAAATCAAAATGAAAACAAAATGATTTTCTTTTAAACGCAGGAAATTTCTTTAGCCACAGCACAGAAACTAAATGTACCACCATAAAAAAAATTTGAATATAATGATGAAGAACGAAACCACAGATATAATTACCAATCAACCATGACTGGGTTAGCCATAAAAAAACCATCTACAGTACAGTTGATGTCAGAGAAATGATTCGAGCTGTCTTGGAAAACACTAAACACTAACGTACAGTGCCAGTGAAATCACCAGCAACCTCCAAAGGGCAGAGGTGAAGGCATCAAAATTCAGTTCAGAGAAGACTGCGACAGCAAAACTGAAAAGGCTACACTGCAAGATTTAAACCTATAATAGACACCAAGACCAGAAAAGCCCAATTAGAAAACGATCATAACTACTGTGCAAAGATAAGCCAGGAGAGATTTGGAAGAGATTTTATGCAGAAAGATTATGAACAAGAGAAAGCCGTTCAGCTCATCTAACCTGTTCGGCAGTTAGAAGCTAACTGGCACAAGGATCTTACCCAGCACTTTCTTTAAAAAAGCCAACTTAATGGCTTTAATAACATGGCTTGTACACCCACAAACCTTTGCACAAAGAAATGCCTCCTGTTCTCAATTTGAAATGTACATTCATTGTTTTGACTAGACTAAACTTACATACTTGTTTTGCTTCTCACTATAACAAAGCCTGTTAATTTTTACCCATATGAGTTCCATAATGTTTCCATATACAAACACATTTTTGCCATAGAGCAGTATCCCACAAGTGTCTTCTTGGTAAGTACCGGACACACAGAAGAATACAGGGAGCTTGAGAAACCCGGTCCAAAGCAGCATGTTACAGTATCAAAGCTCTCCCACTTTGTTCATGTGGTTTGTTGTGTTCCAGTGATCTCCTCTCCTGACAATGTGCGTGATATTAATCTTATCTTTATCAGACATCTATTAAGCTATCTGTGATCATCGTGGACCCAAAAAGTGAAAAGATTTCTTTAGGTGGTGTGACAAAAGTGACGAAAGGAAGAAAGTCAAAAACACTTTTGACTAAATTGGAAGTAATTAAAAGAACTGCAGACGGCCAGGGATCAAAAGACATCTGCACAGCAATGAACTTGGCTGCCTCCAGTATTTGTACCACTGTATTGCACAAAGACAGGTTAAAATGGCTGAAACATGTTGGTGGAAAAAAGTTCAGAGGGAAGGGATACAATACAGGTAGAGCTTTGTAGGCCTTTCTTCATGATTTTATGTTTAGTATTTATGGTTTTATTAAAGAAAACTATTCTTAAATTCTAATATTTATACTGTATATTACAATAACAATTCATATTGTACAATGAAAGCACATTGGCTGACAATTAAAGACTTTTCTAAGTATAGCTAAATAGGTCATGATTACCACATACACGTGTAATTTTTCTTTTTTATATGACTATATTTTTTCTAAACAAATATTTAGATACATTTTTGTGGGACTTGGGAACCAGTCAGGGGTTTGGTTATGTAATGGGAATTATATTTTCAATCGACAAATTTCCACCTTACGATCACTTTTCATGGCATGAATTATATTTCTAAGTCGGTGGATGTTTGTACTTCCAAATAGTTTCCACTTGTGTTCCCTGTTCCTGTGTCGTTATGTACAGTATCCTGACATAGTACACTGTATGAATTTGTCAATGCGTTTGAATACTTGGATCAGGTTCCCTCAAAGTCTCTTGAAACTAAAAAGGATCAGTTCCTTCAGCCTGTCAGTTTAGGACACTCCCTCAGCCCCTGGAATGTATGTGGTTGCTCTTCTCTGGACTGCTTACAGAGCAGCATTTTAGTTCTTGTGATCTGATGACCCAGATTGTACACAGTATTCTAAATGAGGTCTTACAAACAAATTGCACAACTATAACACCACATCCCTCTGTTTTCTAAGTCCTTTATCGGGGGGAGCCAAAACCTATCCCAGCAAAGGAAAGGGACAGGATACATCCTGGATAGGACACCGGTCCATTGCAGGGCACACACAGACACAAACACACACATGCGGTATGTTTTCGGAATGCGAAAGGAAAGCAGAGAACCTGGAGAAAACTCCCAGAAACACAGGGAGAACGTACAAACTCCAAACAGACAGCACCCTCGGAACTGAACCCAGGGCCACAGCGCTGTGAGGCAGCAGTGCTCTCCGCTGTGCCACTGTGTCCTTTGAGTTCAATTCTTTGTTAATTACTACAGTTTATTACTCCAGGCGGGGCTGCACATTGGTGGTGGTGGAGGGGATCCCCATTACCTGTAAAGCGCTTTGATTGGAGTGTCCAGAAAAGCGCTATATAAGTGTAAGCAATTATTATTATTATTATTATTATTATTATTATTATTATTATTATTATTACTACTACAGTACACAGCCTTACATTTTGTTTGCCTTTTTATTTGTTTCCCACAATGTCTCGAAAATGTATATAATGTGTCATCTTAACCACGTCTTCTTCATAAGTGACCTTCTAAATGATACCTTTTTCTAAAATGTTTACAATTTGACCTTTTTACAATTTAAACACAATATCCATTGACATAAAGTTAACTGCATTTCCTAATATACTGTTTTCCGTTTTTATTCCTTTCACTCATCCTTCACACATACGTAAATCTTTTTCGTCAGCTGTCTTTACAAACTCAGTATATATACTGTACATTATGTTTGTACTATGCACATACAACACCCTGCACTTGTCTACATTCAATATCATCTGCCAGGTGTTTGCCTAGTCATCAGTTTAATCTAATTTTTAATTTGTTTGCTGCTTAGTTCACTAGCTACAACAGAATCTAGATCTGTAGTAGAAATAAGAAACAGTGGTGGCCTTAGAACAATTTGCTGTAGTACCCCTATAATTACATCACTCCAGTTTGAGCATTAACATTTACCAAGACTCTCTAGAAATGAACCAATCCACAACATAAATAGATGCATTCATCAAATGCCTTCTTTCTGTAATTAACCTTTAATGAGCAATTTTTCAAAAGCTCTCTAAAAATCCATAAACGATTATCATACACTCGATGTGCACCCATTACTGTTGTTGCTTGTTTAAAGAACTCTGACTCTGACTCTGACTCTGAAATAAGAGTATCTTTAGATAAGCAAGACATATCTAAACCTATTTTGGATATCTATGACCTTATTTCCATAAAGATGATCCTCTGGCTCTAATTATTTTTTCCATAACTTTCTATGTCATAAATTTTAGAGAGCAAATTTCACCTTTAATGACTGAACAGCAACAGATGTCTTGGAGAAACGGATCGCCGAGGAAGTTGTCAGTATGACGGACTACTCACCGTGGCAGTGAGTGTCATCACTGATCCTGTGTTAGGCTTGGCTGTGCTCCTCTTCAGTGACTCACTCGGCTAGGCTTGATCCAGGACCTTCTCTGGGACAAAGTGTCTCTCATTGCCTAGGGGATGAATACAGAAGATTGAGCTTTATTTCCCCAGTTTATGTATTTGTCCGATTGCATAAACTATGTAAAAATGCAAAATGCATTATATAAGAATTTCTTAACAATAATTATCATGCCAAGACAAAGTATGCTCATACCACATAAAGCGATAAAGCATAGGCAAGCAAGAGCTCTGTGTTTCAACACAGTAGCTCAAGTTGGGACTATCTGAAGTTGGCAAATCAAATACTTTTGTGTAAAATGTTCCACCTTGTTGAGCATGCAGAGCTGGGGCTGGTGGCTCAGACTCCTCATCTTCACTGGGGTAAAACGGCTCTTCACAGTACTTCCACTGCATCCATGCCTGTCACACAATGGAACACACTCTCAGTTGTGCCAGGGTCTGAGCCTTTAAAGGACTCTCAAAATTCTGAAACAAGTGAGTCATGAAGCTTATATTTAACAGTTAATTAAAGCTTTAACCATAAATGTTGCGTCCCAGATCAATAACCAAATTTGTGGCTAGGATGTTTAACTGTTTAAAAGGGAGCAATGAAAATGTATAGGAAATTCCCTCCTCTTTAGCCTGGAAAGCTAATACAATATACAATTAAGACTCTGATCCTGTTTTTGCTGCATTTTAAAAAGGCCTAATGTAGTTACATGTCCGCATCCCCTTCCAATGAGTATTGTTTAGGAACACTGTAATGAGTAATGAGTAGTGTTTTGAAACACTGTTTATGCATTTTGATGTTTTAATTTAATTTTAGGACACTTAAACTAACATACCATTTTAGAATTTCTCTAACTTTGAGGACAAAAAATCAAAGAACATATGTTTTTTTATAAAAAGAAACCATGAAAGATTTACGTTTTCTAATAAAAAACTCATGTATCTACTTTATCATTTTATTTACAGTATGGCAACAATGAAACGATCACACATACAATGCACACAGACTTACTGAAACACCCACCCCCACACACAGACACCTCAATGTTTCTAAAAACCACTGACGCGCTAAAAGAGTAAGCCACAGGCAGCCACTGTCAATCACTTCCTGTCACATGGGTTGAACAAGTAGCCGGAGTGATCTGGAGATAAGAGTCTGGGTATCTATTCTGTGCTCCTTAAAAGGAATGAAGAGGGAGACCCAGGGCTGCTCTCAGGAAACACCAGCTCGCAGACGATCTATGTTTGGGTCTTCTCGGTTTTCTAACGCGGTGGAAGCAATAAGTTACCATCTAATAATGAACAAATCTGCCAACTTTCAAAAATGCTTGAAAACTGTCATTGAACCCCAGGCTTTCAGTATTTTCTATTTCCGAGAAAATAAAAAGAGATGCAAAACTTTAAAATCTAGGACAAATAACATCACGTACAGAACATGGTGAACTCAGAGAGTGATGTCTGAGACCTTGGCATCGTGCATCATTAAAAGAACATTATGGCATTATGCTCAGGAAAAAAGCTCTTATTTATACCACAGGAGTGAAAGACTTGTGTAAAACGTGCCATGCTTCCGTGGTGTTATACCTTAGTTCTTGTTGAGTAACTGACCACTGCAGTTAAACTGAATTCTCCTGAAAAGTCTCCAAAGAAATAAAAATGCAAATAAGCTTGGATGCTGATTACCTAAATCCTGTGGATTTAAGAGTCTGAATAACATCCGCCTCCCCCCAAAAAAAACTATTCTCAATATCCCAGTCTCCTCATTCTCCTCATTAGTTTAAAAAAAAAAAATCAGCTTCACTATGAAATTGAGCAAAAGTCTGAATAAGTTGTAGAGATGTGCTTGTATGTGTTTAAAGAACTAGGCCTATCAGTCCAAAACAGCATCTTCACGCTTGGCTTTGACTGAGCTGGTGCCTCTGTGGAAGAACTGCAAAGAGTACTATGTACAGTAGGTATCGAAACATGCACAGGGAAATCTGTCTTTGTTTCTTTTCAGGTGGTTGGACACCCACTAAGACCTTCAAGCCTGCAAAGTATTGTTTTACATCTTCGTGAGCCTCATGTATTCAATTTCAGAATCACATTCATTTCAGTTTCTGGGGGGGAGTTTTTGTTTCATGGAATGGTGCATTCAACATCAAAGTGTCAAAGCAGGAGCAACATGAGAGACTCGCTAACAGAATATGATTCAAATTAAGATTTTAAAGTGTTCAGTTATTAAAGTGCAGGACAGTTAAAACAGAAAAGCAGCCATTTCTAGGATTAACAGAGTGTCAAATTCAGGGGAAAAAAAATCTTCTTAAATAGTCCCAGAACAAAAATCTTTTTTTTATTGTGTCATCCCACCATTGCTTGCTCAGATAGGCTGCAGCTCTTCAGTGATCCTGAATTGGATGAAGCAATTAGAAAATGTAAGTACTAAGATAAGCCACCCTCTATTAAAATTGCTATACTTTGCTTTTAAGCAGCTTTTATGAAGGATCATAAGATTTCTGCTATGCGTTTGCAAAGCTCAACGTATTTCTCAAATTTTTGTCCATTCTGTGGAATGGTGTTTTAGTTGTTGTAGGTGAAAGTCTGCTGTTGCTCCCACAGTACCAGTTCAAATGCTATCTCATCAGTTTATCTTGTAGATTACCACTGGAAGAATAAATGGATATTGTAGGATAAGTAAGGTTACGCTTGATTGATTATATGTAATTTAGTATTCATAGAATCTGTTTTGCAAAGTTATGTGTTTGACAAGTTAAAAGGCACTGAACAGTTTTCGATGGGCCATGAACTGGAAATCTTTCCTGGAGAATTCTAAGAATCTGCCTCCCTGGCAGAACAGCTTTTTACAAGGACCAGCAGCAATACAGCTCTCTTTACAGCACAGCGGAAAGACTGCTAGGTTCTGTGTTCACTGGCAGATGTCCATTTCCTCTTGAATAACATACAACTTGTAAATACTGTACATTTTTAAGGTCGTTGTCTATAAATAATGACAGCCCATTGTATTCTCATTTTAGTTGGAAACCAGCTGAGGAGAAGTGTGTGGGTGTATTTGTGGGTACTTGTATATTAAACATGTTGATTTCTCCTAACATTTGTTTGTCTTACTGTAGTAATTAGGTTGGAAACAACACAGAGAAACTGAAGACAGTATTAATACTTTCCTTTACTTTGATCCTTGCATTACTCATGTCTCTTGTACCAGCAAACAGGCATAAGTGACTCTCAATGCATCAGTGACATAATGAGGGCACTGTTCTATAAATGTGATGGCAGACAAACCTATGGAAACATTTTCTGTTCAAGGATGTAATGATAAGTGAACATATTGATTACGGTGAAGAATACTACCCTCTCCAGCATTCTGTACTTGTATTGATCAATTGTTATGAATAATATCTTCATCTGTTGTCAATTAAAGTATAACTTGCATGTTGTATAGAACTGGATCAGCAGACACAAGGTTTGAGATACAGTAAATACGCTAGATCATGTACTGCTTATTAGCTTTCAACATTTTCGGTTCATTTATTTGGCTAATCTATATTTCTTCTGTCCTTTTTTTCTTATTCCTGTTTTACAAATAGTAAATAGTAAATATAATACATATAGCCAGTGAAGAGTATCGATTTTAGACCTGTTATATTTGACACCACAGCAATTACTAGCTTGTATTTTATTAAATAATACATTCAGTTCCATCTATTTTTAATAAATGTCTAGTCCAATACCAGGTTGCAGTGAACGGGATCCTCATCTGTCAGACAATAGGCACACATACAGGCGCAAACAGAGGACAATTAACAGACACCAATTAATCTAGGCGTATTTTGGGATTTGTTTTAGAAAACCAGAGTGCCAGAGGCACAAATATGGTGAAAACATGTAAACTCCACACAGTAGGCGGCCTAAGCTGAAACTGTACCCAGAATCCAATGTGAGGCAGCAAGTAAATGCCCTTCATTCAGGTCCATTCATCTCGGCTGGCTGTTTTGAAAATGTCGTATGCTTCAGGTTTTCATTGCATTCCCTGGCCTGCTGCCTATTCCCAACGAGAAGGTGTAGGCAATTTTTGAAAAGAAAGAAAAAAACAAACAATAATAAATTAACCCAGACAAGGTTGAGGTCACTGAGATAATGGCCCTAGACAAAGAGCCCTGTCTGAATAGTGACAAAGAGAACCTTTACACAGCACAGTAAGTCAGGCCCTGTGATTGGCTGGGCTGAATGTTAATCTACAAGACAAACTGATGAGATAGCATTTTAACTGCTACTGCTGTGGGAGCAACTAAAACACTAAGCTGTCTGGATGGAAACTGTGACTGAGTTTAAACTAAGTTGAATAATTGTGATTTCCACAGAATGGTTAAATTTGACTAATATATTCAGCTTTGCAAAGAATAGCAGAAATCTTGTGCTCCTTTGTAAAAGCTGCTTAAAAGCAAAGTATAGAAATTTTAATAGAGGGTGGCTTAGTTATCTTAGTACTAACTCATCAGTATTTTCAGAGTAATTTACAAATTCTTTTTCATAAAATCATAAAAGAGCACAAATACATGTCAAAGACTGAAGAGATGGGGTTTACAAATCATAGTAATATTTTTTTTGCAGGATGGAGGAAGTAATCCATAAGTAACAGTTAAGGATGCATAGAACAAACTATAGTGCAGGAGAAACTTACTGGCTGGGACTTTGAAAACACTTGCTTTGTGAAGTTGGTAGAAAATCAAGTTACTGGTAAACCAATTGAACTAGTGGCCTAGTTGCATTCTTGTTCGTAACCCTTTCTAGGCCTAAAATATACACTTACATTTAACATTAGCTCCCACTGATTAAAAAAAACAACATTATCTTTTAGGTTTTATCTGTGGCATTAGTTACCAAGAGGCATTCACTTCAACCAGGCGTCAAATAATGAAGGCCAATTATTACTAATCATTACGTTTTCGACTAAATGATTAAAAAACGATATCAAATTCTATAAACAGCAAACAATTCAAAAAATGTATCTGCTAAATTTAAGGTGAAGTGCATTCTTAAAAAAGATTTTTTTGTTGTTTTGAACCATCCAAAATTTCAGTTAAAAAATCAAAAAGAACAGCAACAGCACAAGGATTTTTTTCTAGTTGTTTTAGTCTTCACTTCACTAAACTTTTATTGTTTACGACGTCTCACTCCATCTGAAGTCCACACTTCGTTATGCACAAGTCTCTGTCAGGTTCACAGGAGTTAACAGGGAGTGATTTCACATCACCTATAATCTGATCTCACTGGCAGATGAGGTACTGTAAGGGTGAGTGCAGAGAGCACAATCTCCACTAATGCAGTGTCACTTCTTTAACTGGTTTCAGATTGGTATAATAAAAGACAGAGACAGCATTAAAATAGTTTCCTGTCTGTTTTTGGCTCCCCCTTCCCCCACAGAGCATTTAACACTTCCTTTAAATAAAAAAGACACCATTTTGAAATGGTCATTACTAAATTCTCACTTACAACACAACGCAGAGCTTTTCCACATGGAAGTTAAACTTTCGGTGATCTTGAACAGTCTCAGCAATGAGTCAGAAGGCTTGTACACTCAGCGTGAACATTTACCAGCATGTCAATCTGTTCCCCTTCAAAATGAAAAAGCCAGACCAATTCAATTTCTATCAGTATAACTGTAAGTAAGAAGAGACATAGGGAGTTATGTCCTTTATGTCCAGTGTCCTTTGAAGCCTTTTGCTGTACTAAAATCTGAAGTGATAAAAATCACTTCCTGTTATGATTACAACCATGACAATGAAAATAAAAAATAAAATAAGGACAATGCATTTTGTTCTGTGTGGAAAACACTGGTGAAAATTAAAGAAATATACAGCCAAATTGGACTTATACAAGCTATACAGTACACCCAACAATGTATATTTAAAAGTCAGATATAATTAAGAAAGACAAACAGACCAAACTCCTTCAGTCTCTATATTGTGAATAAATATAAGTAGAATATATTTATTATTATTTTTTGCAGCATTTCTAACTCTTATTTAGATTTATGTGTGGGGTCTCCATGGGTACAGATAAGAGATGCGTCTTAGAGGATTCTCTTATCCTGCTCTTGTGATCAGTATGTGACCTGTGTGCTTGTGGTAACACTGAAAAACCACTGATTGGCTGAGATGCAATACAGCATCATGAAAGACCTTATTAGCTCTTCTGGTAAATGATGCACAAAGAATGACAAGTGTTTCCCGGGGTTGATATTCTATTGCTTTCAGGTTTATTAGCAAGGTGTGAATGTTGTTTTAACCAATAGTAACTGCAAGCACACCTCCAAAGATCTCCAACCTTAAAATATTTTTTAAAACCTACGCTTTGGCATTTTGCAATAAAAAGAGCAGCAATTTTGTGTAAAGTAACAAGAGATCATCTTTATGTGTAATTTAATGTTTTGCCAAATACTTAAAGGAAAGCCAAAATCTCTTCTGCTAGTACTATAAATACTGAAGTCGTTTTCCAGAAAAAATAAACTTTTTGGATATTGGAAGCTCATGGTATATGCAGGTTAATTATTTCATACTATTATTAAAAAACAGTTGGCTGAGCTCAGGAAAATCGTTAACTTCTTTGACGGTTCAAGCATTGTTGTTATTGTTAAAATAATAATAAAATTATTATTTTAATTTGAATTTATTATCAAAACTGAAAGCTAATGCATCTGATCAAAAAAAGCCTACAGTACTTATGAGGAAATTCTCCAGACAGAAGAAGAATTTCAGAAATGTCTATTCCTGTTTCATAGTGAGGACTACTGCAGATTAATCCAATTATACCACCAAATTTTGTGATTGTCTATTGTTAGTCACCTTGGCCAAGCTCTACAACACTTGTACCAATGCAGATCAGCTACAAGTATAGACTAAACATGTTCTGCAATCTAAATACATTATAACTGCTTGCATTTCTACAGCATGTTTCATTCCAGAGTGATCTACATATAGGAGATCCACTTCATGCACCACGCTAGGGGATTTACAGTTGCCATTATGTGCTGACAGGCTTGCTAAACATGAAATCAGGTGAAGAAGTGAGAAATCACTCTACCAGTTGAACTAAGTGGGGCACTGTGGATGTCACAGAGTTTCATATGGCCGGCAGCTATATCACTCTGCACCTCACAACTGACAGCCCTCTGAAGCTCAGCTGGTGTGAGCCTGGTCAGTACCTGGATGGGAGACCTCCTGGGAAAGCTAAGGCTGTTGCTGGAAGCGGTGTTAGTGTGGCCACTAGGGGGTGCTCACCCTGCGGGCCATGTTGGTCCTTATGCCCCAGTATAGTAATGGGGACACTATACTGTAAAAAAGGTGCCATCCTTCAGATGAGATGTTAAACCAAGGTAATTAAAAATCCAAGTGTGTTTCTCAAAAAGAGTAGGGGTGTTACTCTGGCGTCCTTGCCACGTTTTCCCCTGGACTTTACCAATCATGGCCTCCTAATAATCCCCATCTGTGAATTGGCTTCATTACTCTGTTCTCCTCCCCACTGATAGCTGGTGTGTGGTGGGTGTACTGGCGCACTATGGCTGCCGCCGCATCATCCAGGTGGGGCTGCACACTGGTGGTGGTGGAGGGGAGTCCCCATTACCTGTAAAGCGCTTTGAGTGGAGTGTCCAGAAAAGTGCTATATAAGCAATTATTTTTATTTTTATTAGGAAGAAACAGTTGCGAGA